TTTGGATCTATACGCTGGGTACTTTGATACCCCAGGGGTTTTATACTGAATTAAACTTTAAAGTGTTTCTTAAATAGATAATATATACATTTTTTAAATTGTCCTATTAATGATACTATATCATTATAAAATATTCCATTACTCAATGTATGCAAATCTTGATGATCTGCCCCTATGTTGTCATCTGCTGAATAATAATGAATAGATATAATATGTGATATATCTGTTGATCTTATAGCCACCCTTTAATGATCTATATATGTCAGTAATTTTTTAGAATTTTATTTAGATTTGGAAACAATGTAGTGATGACATTTCAACATAAGAGGGCGACAAATAGAATAGATTATGCAAATGCCGCACTATATAAGGATTGGAAAGATGCCCCCTCCTAGTTCGGACAAAGTCCACGATGATTGGCGGACAAAACACGTCAATGTAATGACATCATCACGCCCTGCGTAACACCATGCTGTTGTGTCCATGAGGTGGAAGAGGTACGCCACATGCCTCCATCTTGGATATTCACTGGACAAGATGGAAACCGCTAGCTAATGAGCTTACTCCCGGGAGTCTACTCAGTAATGTACGCCAATGTATACAACTTCCACCGGTGGCAAGAAATTTTTGAAATGTGCTAAGCATTGATTTGCACTTTGATATTACATGGAACATTTTTGTTCATAGCGTTTATAGAGGAAATTTATAACTCTTATTTAGAAGAGAAATTTTTGGGCCTGTTAAGGTGACTACCCTATATGTGATATGCGTCAAGCATCGATTTACATTATGACATAAAACGGGACTGTCTGTTTCACATAACTGTCATATGCCTTTAAGTGTTTTTTGTATTTTGTCTCTGCTCCTCCCTTTCCTCTGGTTTAGTTCATGCTGTATAGATAGCCCACCCCTTTTCCCAGTAAGGCATTTCAGCTTCAAGCCGCATGTCAAGAAGCAGATCACATTATGATCTTTTGACCTATCAGATGTTTATTGTTGTAAGATTCTCTCAGTTTATGAAATAAACTTCACAAGATCTACAAGGTGTCATCTGGATTGAGTCACTGCCTGTGTTATTCAACTAAGATTGGAGTTATCGCTATCTCATCACAACTGTAAGTTACAGAGATCACACTTTCAATGTGTAGATTGGAGAGACAGAACAGGGACTTTTGTCCATAACCTTCTCAGGAACCAACTTGCTCTTACTTAGAAGAGGAATTTGTGGGCGTACTAAGGGCTACTTTTCATCTATATGAATCCATGCAATTACAGGATCAAGATTCTAGATATCTATATACTATCTACAGTCAAAATATGTTTTATGAACAAGAGGAAATATCTCCTTCATTTTTGATTGCGGATCACCAGATCCATTTTTTCTTTATACGAAGCTAACAACGAACTCTACTGGAGTATTTACCTTACACAATATACTCATGATCTATTAATGAATTTTTCATCTTACTAATATTTATGTAATTTAATTTTAGATTTAGCATTATAGTGCCATTAATAGAGGTAATTCCGTTAAAGAAATATCAGCCAATTGAGGCTGGCTTTCTTGTCAACATATTTTACATGATGATGACGAGATATAATGAAGGTAATATTATTTTAGATTCAATTAGATTTTCCTCTTTAAAGTAATTCATTTATGATTACTGTATTAGACTCATCTTGATGACATATCTATGAATATGATGATTCTTCTCATACACATCATTCACTACTTATATTGATTCCCTAGGATTTTTTCCACTTGCTACTTCTATAACCATGCTGATGACCACACATGTGAAGTGCAAAGAAGTATCTGCTTAAAGTTATGTCACTATTGGAAAACAGCAAGGAATCAAAATTGTGAAGATAGAATGACTCAGAATACTATGAAAGTGGACTCTCCATACATTACTATCATCCTCCATATACGAGGAATTCTTGTTACCAAAATATTGGTTTCCCAGTCATATACTTAATCAGCATGATGCAGCTAAGTGCATACGAAGGACGTTTCTTTGTTTTTTGTTTTTAATTCACTGCTTTTACTTTTTTGGTTGACTGTGTATTCACCATGTCATATGCCCACCCTTTCAGAAGATCCTAGTGATCATAATAAAGAAATTATTTGCATCTATTATTGATGTTTATTGCTTACTCTGCATTGGATTTAAAATACCATTTTTTTTGCATTTTGCTCTAGTCAGCTGCTAACATTTTTCTAATATGCTCATATTCGGTTTATAATCCACATCCCAAAATAGGGTGAGTCAGAGAGATCCCTTTGATGGGTGGTTACACCCTTTATGATACATTTTTTTCCATTTTTTTAATTTTCTTACATATACACATATTTGAGTACGTTCCAGACCAACATCATCCTAATATCATTTGGCGATATGGTATGTACATCTCTTGTATACATCTTGCATATTTTCATCATGTATTTATTTGAATGAATGATCCATTGGATGTTTTATTGAAATATCTAAGTTTTATTGGAATGCATAAGTGCTAAGTTTAAAGTTTGTTTTTACTTTGTTCTGTTCAAGCATGATGTATGTGACACCCCTCCCTCACTGATTTACCCAGCTCATTATTAAAGTGTCTTAAACCATTTTTATATATAAGGGAGGCTGACATTTGGTCAAACTGGCTCTGAGGAAGAGGGGATCTCCCTTCAGAACGTGTCAGCCATTCTAAAGGAAAAAAACAGGATATACCTGTGCTCAAATCCCATAGCTAATACATGCTCTGCCTACGCTGGATGGATAAATGCATGTATTAGCTATTGGGATTTGAGCACAGGTATATATCTTGTTTGTTGTATTGTGGGTCAGTAGCCAGACCTAACCTGGTAGCTCTCCCCCACTTTGTCTTTTCCCCTATATTGGCATTGTGTCCACAGTAGCATTTGCGTAGGCAGGGCAGAGTAGGACTGGCCATAGAGGGATTACTTTGATGCAGTTGGCCAGCTTAAACATGTATTGCAATATGTGTGAACTAAATATCCCTATTTATTGCAGAGTCTGCTTAAAAGGGTATATACCAGTGTGCAGAGGGCCCTTCAGAATTTCTAGCCTTTCTATAGGGTCTTCCTTCAATTGGGACTCCGGTCTGATTGTCCAGTGTTGGATAGCACATGCTTATGAAATTGTGATGTTTGTGAGTATACATCTGTTTTATCATTCAATAAAATTCTTGTCGCTGAGGTAATGTGCAAAGTTGGTGCGCTTTTTTTGTTCTTTATTGCAATATTGTCCTAGGCTTCCCCAGCCATTCATAAGAGCTGCACAGCTTTTGATCATTTGGTGGATATATGTTATTGTGGAGAATGGTCAGTCCACAAATTCCTGATCTCTGAGCGCAGGAGGTGACATTTTGTGTTCTGGAAACATCCATCAGATTGCCAGACAGAGAAGCGTGGTACGCCACTCCAGAGAACATGTCTCCACTGCTCTAGAGTCCAGTGTCGGCGTGCTTTATACCACTGCATCCGACGCTTTGCATTGCACTTGGTGATGTAAGGCTTGGATGCAGCTGCTCAGCCATGGAAACCCATTTAGTGAAGCTCTGTATACATGTTGTTGTTCTAATCTGAAGGCCACACAAAGTTTGGTGATCTTTAGCTATTTACTCTGCAGACAGTTGGCGACTTCTGTGCACTGTGAACTTCAACATGCGCTGACCCCGCTCTGTCATTTTAAACCACTTCGTGGCTGAGTTGCTGTTGTTCCCAGTTACTTCCACTTTGTTATAATACCACTAACAGTTGACCGTGGAATATTTAGTAGCAAGGAAATTTCACGGATGGACTTATTGCACAGGTGGCAACCTATCATGGTACCATGCTTGAATTCACTGAGTTCCTGAGAGCGACCCATTCTTTCACAAATGTTTGTAGAAGCAGTCTGCATGCCTAGGGGCTTGATTGTACACACCTGTGGCCATGGAGGTGATTGGAACACCTGAATCCAATGATTTTCAGGGGTGTCCCAATACTTTTGGCAGTATAAGTCAGACTTATGCAGGCCATAGATGGGTCGAAAATCGGCCATTTTTTCTTTTAAAAAATGAAAAAATCGGTCGTTCAAGCTGCCGACGTTACCAGCAATGGTAAAAAAAATCGGCCGATTTTCATCCAGTCTACAGCCGGCAAAAAGTGTCCCTGCAGAGAGCTCCGCTATTTCTTTGACAGTTCTTTGACATTTATAGCAGTTGCAACAATGTATCTATTTGTATCCATTTAGGATACAGATGTTTTTATTCAGAAACAAATAGATACATTGTTGCAGCCGCTATAAATGTCAAGGAACTGTCAAAGCAATAGTGGAGCTCTATGCAGGGACACTTTTTGCGGGACTGGAATTCCTCTTCTTTTTCATCCTATTCTTCTTCTTCCTCTTCTTCTTCTTCATCCTCTTCTTCTTCTTCATCCTCTTCTTCATCCTCTTCTTCTTCTTCATCCTCTTCTTCATCCTCTTCTTCTTCTTCCTCTTCTTCATCCTCTTCTTCTTCTTCCTCCTCTTCTTCTTCTTCCTCTTCTTCATCCTCTTCTTCTTCTACTTCCTCTTCTTCATCCTCTTCTTCATCCTCTTCTTCTTCCTCCTCTTTTTCTTCATCGTCTTCTTCTTCTTCCTCTTCTTCATCCTCTTCTTCTTCTTCATCTTCTTCATCCTCTTCTTCTTCATTCTCTTCTTCTTCTTCATCCTCTTCTTCTTTTTCCTCTTCTTCTTCTTCTTCTTCCTCTTCTTCTTCTTCCTCTTTCCTCTTCTTCTTCTTCATCCTTTTCTTCTTGCAGGTCACTGCTCATGCGCAGATTTTTTTATCGGTAAAAAATCAGCCGATTTGCCCATCATTGCCGCGAAAATCGTCCGATCGGCAAAATCGGCCGATTTTTTTTCCAACTTTACCGATAAAAAAATCTGGCAAAATACCGAAAAATGGCCGAACAATTAGCGCACTAACAATCCGAAAATCGGCCGATTTTATTTTCAGAGGAAAAATTGGCCGATTTTTGACCCATCTATGGCCTGCATAAGGCTGGCCATACACTATACAATTTTTTTGTCCAATTTCTGCCCAATTTCCTTTAGATTTACCTTCAACTATGTAGTGCAAGGGCCTGTCTAATTGGATACTATTGAAAGTGTTGTTTAGGTTTGACCTCCTATTATATGGTTTTTGGTAAATCTAAACCAAAAATCTCAAGTATATTGTATAATGTATGGCCAGCCTAAGTGTTAAAGCCTTTCTTTTTTTGGTGTAGAAGACAAACTTTCACTGTAGCACCTAGTGACAAAGCTAATACAGCTCATTATGGTCAATACGTGTTTCAAGACAACACTATCAGACAGTGCAGGATATATGTTCATCTAGAATCCTATGTCTGCAGCACTCACGTATCATGCATATATAATGGCTGAGCAGAGTGGACATCTATCTGGAGAAACAGGAGAGCAGTAGACCTCAATGACAGAGGTGCATTTTTACTTCTGAATGAGACCACTTTCTTAAGCCACTCATACATGGATTGAAATTCAGCTGGTTCAGCAAGGACTGGCTGAATTTCGATCCATGTATGGGCAGGCTGATGTATAGAAGTTGAGTGGTATATCGACTTATGTTCATCAACCCTGTTTGGGTTTTTCCCCGATCGATTAGGCTCCATTCACACATTAGCATTTTAAATCGTGGGTAATTGCCACAACTCTGACCATGATTTGAAAATGCACTTTTAATATGTGAAAAACGCACATTAAAGTGTTCAGGTGCCATTCATTTCAATGGCACCTGAAAAACCATGGTGTTTTTGCTGCAATCATGGAGCATTTTTCGCATGACAAAAATGTGCCGCCACGATTGTGCAAACAAAACGCCTACGTGTGACTGGAGCCTTAGTGTTGCCAGCTATAGCCCACAGTACTGATCAGTGTATTCTGATGGAGGAGAAGTCTCCCTGCTGTCACAACACAATAGCTCAGTGGGAAGGATTCCCCCAACCACACACTCGAGGTGTGAGGATGAAGGATTTAAGTCATTTTTTTAGTTCAACTCACTGGTTGAACCAAACAAATTACCAATGTAGAGCCAGCATTAGCATGGTAGGTAGGTAGGTCTGATAGGTACTCTTTCTAAGCCGTGGTTTGCACTATGAACTGCATGTGAATCGCAAAGGATCTGCACCGCATTCCTGCGCAATTCACATGGAATTCATTGTGCAATTTCAGCCCATTCATTTTGAATGGGCTGAAATTGCACCACATTGCACCAAAGACTTGCATGCACCAATTTTGAAACACAACCGCAACTAGATAGCATGGTGTGTAGCAATTGTGCACACAGATATGAACGCGGTCATCCATCTTGCTCAAGATTCCCCATCTTGTATCATTCTCTCAACCTCCAATCCCGTTCCCTCAGGAATGTGGTCTGTATGTATGCTGAGATCACAAGCATCAGGCCCAGCGGGATAGCTTCATGGTTATAAAACCCCAATTAGCCTGGGCCCAGTATGTCTGTGAGACTCTTGCTTGGAAAGGATCATAGAGCTATAAACCAGTCCTTCACTGGACATGAAAGACATTCCGAGATAGCCATAAACCACACCTCACATTTTTAAAACCACTTTTCCATATGTCTTGGAAATTCGCTTTAACGAATTTCTCCTTACCGTGAGTACTCGCAGTTGGATGCGCAGAAATCCCCCATAAAGCTGTGCGAATCTCGCTTACCACGACTGCAGCCAAACTACACGATTCCTGCCCATCCAAATACTTTTAGCTTCTATTGAGATGTAGGTGATGGAGCTCCGTTACCCTAGAATGATCAAACGACACTCTTAGGATGGTTGCAATCCACATAAGGGCTGATTTTAGACCCAGCTCTCTGTTTTATTAAAAATACACACATGCCCCCCACATGAATAAAGTCAATCCCTTCCCACCGAACAATGCAATGGGGAGTGCCTATACATAGGATGTACATTCCAATTGGAGCATAGCCTTTCCTATTATCTATCACTGGTCCTCCCAACCTGACCATGAGTCTTCTGAGGTCAGCAGACTTCCTCCCCTTTCCCCCCCCCTGAGCTGCATCTGAGTCATCAAATTCCTGTCCTACTAGCTTCTATTGTGATGTAAATTCTCTGCACAAGCATCTCCTAAAAATATCAGTCTGTACCTGGATGGGAAGATCCTTGATACTCTGTCATACACGATAGCTCAGTAAGGATTCCCCCAAACACATCCATCCAAGATTTAGTTCAGATTAGTAATCACTGGCTTGAACCAAGATATGCATAAGCCAGCATACACGTGGGTAGTTAGGTACACACCGCTTGCGCTTGCGTTAATGCAAGCCACACGTTCCTGGTTCACTGGAATTCATTGCTGCTGATATGTGGATACCAAATTGCCCACGGTCTACTGACAGCAGCATTTTGCATCGAATGCTGTGTGTGTAGCAATTGTGCACACAGCGCGGTCTATAAGCCCAGATCTGCCATTCTCATCCAATACCAAGCTGAGTACTGTATGTACATACATCACAAATGCGCATGGCCCAATTGCAGCCTTCAAACCCCAATTAGCCTGGGCCCAGTACGTGAGACTCTTGCTTGGAGAGGATCATAAAGAATAACACACTGAATATATGACACATTTAAAGTAAACCAACAATACAAAATTTCCATGACACATACAGTTTCATATCTTAAGATAGGAAAATAATTACAATGAAACAAATATTCAGAGAGGTCTTTTAATGCGAGTTGCCTGATACCTTACACCCCTAGTTAAAGTCTACAGGAGAGCAGAAAGCCATATAGTTCTAGCTGAAATAGTAAGATATGGCATATTTGATGTCTGGATGTTCAGGATGTCATTCTGCATATTAATCTACTAGTGGCTAGGCTGTTACATGTACCTAGGGAAGGTTATTGACCCTGGTATAACTTGGGAGGGATTTTGGTTCTAGCTTGGGTCTCCGCCTAGACCCCCCCCCTCCCCAAATGAGGCCATTGGCCCTTGGCTTCAGAGACACCCCCTGCTGGGGGAATACAAAATAGGCTGTCAGGCCTAAGAGAGTTAAGTTGAAGAATTCTCCCTTTTTAACATCAGGAACCAACTTGGGAGAACAGTACCCTTTTGCTCTGACACTTGAACACTGCTTAAAACAAGGCTGACGGCAAGTATTCTACCTCTCTTTTTCTGTTATCTCTCTGTTGTGTTTTTTTTCTCTGTATTTATATATATATACTGGCTGCATCTTTTTCTGTAAATACTTTTATTGCACCATTTTGACCTTTTTAGTAATAAATCTTATTTTCTGAAAAGTGTTGAACTGTTTCTAAAGCTCTTTAATGCAATCTAAGAATCCCTGTCTCTGAAGAGTGCTACTGTGTGTTTTAAACCTCTATATACATCTGCCTGCGGTGAGAGTGTGTATACAGACGCTTATTCCAACATCACAGTGTTATTGCTAATATTGGCGTGGTTCCTCCTTCTCTGTTCAAAAAGGCGGTGGTGGCAGTGTGAAGGTTTAATTGCGTAATTAACCTGACCCAGTAACAATCGCTCTCAGGCTGCCGGTACATAGATTGTGGTCCCATTAGCTGGAAAATCTTTGTGCAGGGTGCAGCTGAGCGTGGCATTGTTACTTACGTGACAGCGCGGTTTTAGATTGGCTAGTCCTTTGGTCACGAGTTGGTGAGTAGGGCTGGGGGTCTGACGCCACGACTGTCATATGGTGGTTTTGCACCAAATGATCCAGTGCATTGCAGGCAAATTGCATTTAGGGTTTCGATAAGATTACACTGAAAGCCACTGCAGATTGCAAGACCAGTGCGATGGGAATGTGGTGTGGGAAGCACAAAAAGATTGTGGTGTTTCCCGCACCACGTTAGTGGGAACCTAGACTACCTATACTCATTCACTCACTTTCACTTGCTCCTGATTGACAACTGGCCTCTTCCTGTTACTCTGTTCTTTGTAACACAGGATGGGCTGCGAGGCTTCGTTCACACCTTTGTGGTTTTGAGAGCTGCGTTGGCGTGGGTATGGCAGCCCATTTCGTTTGAATAGGCTGCTGTGCCTGCATTTGATACAAAAAATGTAAAGTGGCAGGGAAGTTACTGCATGTTCCCCCACCTGAAAATGCACTGCGCTTATAGATGCATGGGGGTGCCGTTAAATATGAATGGCACCCGGTGCGTATGTTAAGAGCAGTCCAATGTTGGCTGCCGGTGGTTGCAGGTGCAGGAGTAGGTGCAATTCCCGAACCCGCAAGCCCCCCGCTTAGGTTGAACCTAGCATAAAGAGAAAAAGAAATGTGCCTGGAGATGAATTCAGTTAGTTAGGGGTGGGAGGGATGGCAGGGTAATATAAAATTGTTTTTATGTGCATATATAGTTTATTATTTTTTTGCTTTAAATGTGTTTTTTTAAGTTTTATTTTAACCCCATAACTCAGTTCTGAGGATTAACCTATGATCCTTTATGGTGAAGAATGGTAGGGGCATAGTAGATTAGGAAATTTTTTAATTATATATATTTATATATATATATATATATATATATATATTGACAGACAGTATGAACGGCGATATGATCGATGGAAGCTATGTCTTACCTCGCATGCGATCATACTTTGAAGTTTAAGGGGGAGTCCACTCCGGGTTTTTGGGGCCACAATGGCAGAGGTGGTTCCGGACCAGATTTTGTGCTCCACTGATGACCACCAACAGGTGGCATAAATAAGGCAGGGCTGGAGCAAGGAGCTGCTTTTGGCCTGGGACTCAGAGAGCCATTCCTGAGAGAGCTGTGTGTGTTATACCAACAAGAAAAGGTTTGCGTATTGTTTTGTTTTTGGGTGACAGGGAGAAGCCCTTTACCTGTGAGAGAGGAAAAGTTCTATGTTTAGTTAGTGCCTGGATGGCAAGGGTTTATTTTGCTGTTTTGTTTGTTTTGATATTTTGCAAACCTTTAAATAAAACTGACAACCAGTCAGAGTTTGAAGAAAACCTGCTGTGCGGCCTACCTTTTTCCCAGGGAAGGTGACCCCCCACCTGAGCTAACCCCTACAATATATATATATATACACTTTATGATATTAGTAAGTGTGTGCATGTGCCTT